GAGCAGATGAGGGAGGGGGACTTGAGCGGGGGAGGGGGAGGGAAATGGGAAGCGGTTGCGGGGACGAGGCAGAAATCCTTAATAAATAAATAAATTAAAAAAAAGAAAACATATAGTGGAAAAAAAAAGAAAAGCTACTTTATAATAAAGGACATATTTTTTAGACAAAGCGGCAAGCTACAGAATGGGAAAAGATTTTCTAAATACACGTCAAATAGAGAGTTAAGTATCTAAAACTGTATAAAGAGATTAAAAATGGACATCAAGAAAACAAATAATGATATTCTGCCATACTCATAGATCTGTTCATTGCTTAGCCATTAGAGAATCCTCCTGCAGCAGATGGAACCAAATACAGAAACCCACAGACAGACAACATGCAGAGAGTGAGAGATGTTTTAGGACTCTCCCCCATCAAATTCCACTCTTTGGGACTCATGGGAACTTCATGGACGAGGAAATGGAAAGAGTGTAAGAGCCAGAGGGGTTGGAGGACACCAAGAAATCAATGCCTTTTAGATACAACATGGGTAGCACACATATAAACTCAAGGAAACTGAGGCAGCCTGCACAGCCCCCATATGGGTCTGCACCATATAGGGCCCTAGAAATGAAAGGAGAAGTGGACACATGTAGTTGGTTGTTTTATTCTTTTTACTTTTTACTCTTTTCTCTTTACTCTTGGGGCCTGCCACCAAGCTCCCAAATGAATCACACACATTCTTTCTTATGAGTGTCTGGCCTTAGCTTGGTTTGTTTCTAGCCAGCTTTTCTTAACCTATACATAAGATTATAGTGAATTTTTATATGGGATTACTCAGCTCAAGTGCATGGTGCCATCCCCGAGTAGCTAGCTGGTCATGGAGTTATTAGAATGATCAAGCCATGAGGAACAAGCCACTAAGCATCACTCCTCCATAGTCTCTGTTTTCAATTCCTACCTATAATTTCCTGCCCTGTTTGGGCTCCTGCTCTGATTTTCTCCTGTGATGGACTCTGATGTGGTAGTGTTTCTGACTGTATCACACTGTTATATTACAGTCATAGAAACCCTAACTTAGACAATACATCTAAATATTTGGAGCTGGGATCCAAAGATGAGAAAGAAATGCAATATTTATCCATGTGGGTCTGAGTTAGCTGACTAACTTTAATATTTTCTAGTTCTAGCCACCTATCTGCAAATGTCACAATGCCATTTTTATTTATAGCTGAATAGTATTCCATTGTGTATATAGACCATTTTTATTGTCCATTCATTAATTTAAGGCCATTTGGTTTCTTTTCATTCCTTAGCTATTTTAAGTATAGTGGCAATGAACATGGCTAAGCACAGTATCTGTAGAATAGGGTGCTGAGTCCTCGGGGCATATGCCAAGAAGTGGCATAACTGGGTCATATGGGAGATTTATTTTTAGTTTTCTGAGATTTTTCCACATATTTCCAGACTGGCTGCATCAGTTTGCACTCCCACCAACAGTGGCTGAGGGTTCCTGTTTCCCTGCTCCCTGTCCAGTATTTGTTGTAGGTGGTTTTGATGGTGTTAACCATACTGCCTAGGGTAAGATGAAATCTCTAAGTTGCTTTGATGTACATTTCCATAACTGCTAAGAACAATGAACATGTTAAAGATATTTCTTAGCAGTTTTTACTTATTCTTCTGAGAACTTTGTTCAGATCCATGGCCCATTTTTTAATTGTTTATTTTTCTCTTTGTATTTAGAGTTCTTTGTGCATTCCTGTTATTAATCGTTTGTCAGATGTATAGCTGGCAAAGGGTCTCACACACTTTGTAAGCTTAATTTTTGCTTGCTTGCTTGTTTCCTAAAGAGCCCAGAAGTTATATGAGGTTCCTCTTGTCAGTTGTCAGCCTTGATTCCTCGGCATGTGGAGTCCTATTCACAAGTCCTCTTCTACACCTCTGTCTTGTAAGGTGCTGCCTACGGTGTTTGTGTGTATGCTTGTGTGTAAGGCTTGCCTAGAGGTTAAGCCTTTCAGGTTTCACAGTGAAGTCTTTGATCCATTTGAAGTTTGGTTTGTGCATGGTGATAGATAGGGCCTAATTTCATTTTTCTACTTGTGGACATACAGTCTTCCCAGACCCAGTTTTGGCAGATGCTATCTTTTCTCCAGTGTATGCTTTTAGCATGTTTGCCAACTATCAGATGACTGTAATTATGTGTACCTAAGTACTATTTTGTTCTATTGGCCAACATGTTGGTTTTTCTACAATATCATGGTATTTTTACTACTATAGTTCCGTAATTCTGTATCTGGAATGATAATCCCTCCAGTATTGTTCTTCTTGCTCAGGATTGTTTTGAAAGTGTTATGTTTTCCATGCATTTTCATTGGCATGTGCTATCATTTGCATATTGATTTTGGCCATTCTGACTGGTGTAACATGTAATTTTGATTTGCATTTCCCTAGTGGTTAGGGATGTTGAACATTTAAGTGTTTCTAAGTCTGATTAGTTGAGTATCTCATTTTAAAATTAAGTTGTTTTCTTGATATTCAGTTTTTCTCTATATAGTTTAGATACTAACCTATTAAATGAATAATTGCTAAAGTTATTTTCCCATTCTGTAAGCTGCTGCATTGTCCAAATGCTGTGTAGAAGCTTTTCAACTTTATGAAGTACCATTTATTAGTTGTTATTATTAGTGCTGATGATGTTGGTGTTCTGTTCAGAAAGCCCTTTCCTGTGCCAATGAGTTCAAGACTTTCCCCCACTTTCTCTTCTACCAGGTTCAGTGTATCTGACCTTATGTTGATTTGAGATCTCTGTTCCATCTGAAGTTGAGTTTTGTGCAGGTGATCAGTGGAAATTCATTTGCATATTTCTGCTTGTAGGTATCCTGTTTGACAAGCAACATTTGTTGAAGATACTGTCTTCTTTTTCCCCAGTGTGTATTTCTTCCTTCTTTATCAAACCTCATGTCTGTTTTTATGCCAATACCATGCTCGTTTTATTACTATATCTCCACAGTAACATTTGAGGTCAGGGATGGCAATACTTCCAGCAGTTCCTTTATTATTCAGGATTGTTTTAGCTGACCTGCATTTTTATGTTTTCATATGAAATTGAAAATTATTTTTAAGTTTCTATGAAAAAATACATTGAAATTTTTATGGAGACTGGATTGAATTACTAGATTAATTCTACCTATCCCTGAGCACAGGGGATCTATCCGTCCTCTGGTATCTTCTTCGTGGCTGTCTTTTTGCGTTCAGTTTGCACTTTTTTGTTCTCAGGACTTTGTTAGTTGGTTGTTATTTGTTAGGTCTCATTTCCTTTTTTAGGTGGGTATGTTTGTGATGAAGACTAGGCTGCAGCATATTTGAGTTGTCATTTTCCATGTTCAGACTGTGTTCAAGGTACCACACTGTATTACTAGACCTTCCCCTAGGGTAACTTACTGACTCCAGCAGTAGGACCCCTGAATGCGTGACATCCAGCACGTTCTTTTTCTACTTCCTAGAAGTTTTTACTCACTGCCAGGAGTTCCTCTGTGATGGATGGTCTCATACTTACATTCTCTTTTTCTAAGGACTGTTCCGGACCACTGTCCATGTGTTGCTCCATTTCTGGTCTTTTCTCCTGATTTGATTTTGGCTCTGCTCTGTCTCTGGGGTTCAACCTTTTTCTGGGAGGTTTTTATATTTGGAACTGCATCTTACCATCCTGAATGAGTTCCAGACACTTCTGTACCTTTCTGAATGAGTTCCTGGCACTTCTGTAGTCAGGGTGTGTTTGTGCTTTGTGTTCTTTATGGACTTAGCTTCTTTTGGCATGGTTAGGTACTATGTAAAATTATGTTGTAGAGAAATTGTTGGGTGTTTACTTGTAGATGGGTGGCTGTAGTATAGTCTCAAACGTCAAAGAAACCTTTGTTCAAGGGGCACCTGTCAGTGTGAGCCAGGGGACAGGTTTTTTTCTCATGGGGCTGTTCAAGGGTGTATGGACTAGGGAGACTCAGGCTGCAGGAAAGCATTTCTGGTCTCATGGGCTTGATCTGATGGTATGTGGGGGCAGTGGGAATTAGTAGGTGAGTGGGTGCACTATCTCTGGTCTCAATGGGATTCCCCAATGCATGCGTGAGCTCATAGCATACATCTTAGACCTTGCTGAGGTTGTCCAATGGCATATGGGTTGAAAGAACCTTGAAGGTGTGTGGTGTGCTGTCCCTGACCAAAAGGGGATAGTCTGAGAGTGGGTGGGACAGCAGGAAGCTTTTGTTTGTTTTTTTGTTTTCATTGTGAGGTGGGGCCTGGCAGAGCCCAGAGTAGCCTTGAAATTATGCAATTAAACCTGGCATTGAACTCTTTGTCTTTTTGTCTCCACCTCCCAAACACCAGGATTACAGGCAAGTGCTACCATGTCTGTAGTGCTTTGGCTGCTATATTTCTTTAAGAATCATGGCAGGAAGGCATGTCACTGGGAGAGTGAGAGTTTGAGATGGCTTGTCACATTGAGTACGCGGTCACAGACAGAGGGAGAAGAATGCTGGCATTAAGCTGATTCCCTTTTGAACTTAGTCACGGAACCTAGTTCTTGGGTTGGTGCCACCTGCACATAGGGTAGGTTTGCTCTCAGTTAGACCTGTTTAGAATTGCCCTCAGAGGCACACTCATTGTTGTCTCTCTTAGGTGATTCTAAATCAGTCAAGTTGGCAGTGTGAATTAACTATCACCCAGATTTTTTCAATGTTTTTTATATGAACAAAAATGTTTGTGTAGTCAAATAATCTTCTGTTTTTGCTTTTTTTAGTCTGTGTCTTTGATTTCTATGAATTATTCTTTATGATATTATTTATGAGTGCTAATCCATATAAGGCATTGTTTTATTAAAGCATTAACTCTGAAAAGCCAGAATAGGCTCTGGCCACCTGGGAACCAAATAAGGTCATTTTCGCTATTGTGTCCAGTGCAACTTTCCACTGCTTTCATGAATTTCTCTTCTTATGCAATTAAATTTCTTTCTTTCTTTGATTTTTAGATTGTTTCTAACTTCATAAAGCGTATCCAGACCAAAATCAAAGATCTTCTACAGCAAATGGAGGAGGGACTGAAGACAGCGGACCCTCATGATTGCTCTGCATATACTGGTTGGACAGGTGAAGTAGGAACCTCTGTTTTCCGTTCTGGAACTGTGATATATACACCACAACTTTGAAATTTTGTCCTATTTTTAAAATGGTGACGTTTATACCCTTGAAGCTTAGATAGTTTTATTATGAGCTGTTTTGTAGTCTTCTTTCTGAAGAAATACTGTCTGAAGGTTTGATCTTTAACATGTAGTATATACATACATATATATATATATATATTTTATTTTTCGAGACAGGGTTTCTCTGTAGCTTTTGGTTCCTGTCCTGGAACTAGCTCTTGTAGACCAGGCTTGCCTTGAACTCCCAGAGATCCGTCTGCCTCTGCCTCCCGAGTGTTGGGATTAAAGGCGTGTGCCACCACCCCCGGCACATGTAGTATATTTTTACAACATATCTTATATATAGCTATGCAAATGTGTGGCAATAAAAGGCCTACCTATGATTTACTTTGTTGGTTTTGGCTTGTTACATTTTCCGTTCTGACAGGTTTTGATGAAATAGCGTCTCTGGTCTCTTTCATAAATGACTACCTGGTTTGTTATGTTTAATTTTATCCAAATAATTTAAATTATATATATATATATATATATATATATATATACACACACACACACATATGTATATATAATTTTAACAATTTATTTATTTGTTTGTTTGTTTATTACATCATTTAAACAAAAGTCGTATAATTCAGGACCGAAAAAGTATGGTCTCAAAATTAACTGCCTTAACTAATTTTATGTTTTTGCTGTTCTAGCACAGGGATTTTTTTCTTCCTGGTTCTCATGATCTATGATGAGGGAGCTCAGATGAGATCCACAGAGTGTAGTTTAAGGAATAGCAAATGTTTATGACAGATTAAGGTTGAACGCGTTGTGAAGGGGTGAATGTGGGTAGTGGCACAGGGGTCACTCTGTGCTGTAACGTTAGTAAAGGGTCTGAGGGAACAGTGAGCAAAGTGGACAGTGTGAGACCTGTTTTAGGTCAGATTTGTACTATTTCTAGAACAGACAGCTCTTTCTGAGGCCGTTTCCTGTTCAGGGTATTGGCAGTCTGTTTGGACAGGCTATTGGAGAAGGGACGTGGAGCTATTTTTGTCCTTTATGAGGGTGTCCGCTAGTAATCCTACTAGGTGTGGGGCTCCTGGAACAAGGTTTAGATAGCTGTCTGTTCGTGGCATCACTCAAGTCTCATTCTTTTGACGGATATTCGTTTTAGACCTTGATTGTACAAGTTCTAGATTAGGAAGTAGTCAGCTCCAATGTGCCCCTGGCCTACAGTATCTAACTGGCTACCTAACACTACCAGGTAGTCAGAACATTTTCGTAGCTCTGTCAGTTTTGTAAAAGAAGATAGACCTTGTTCTCTGAAATTATAGTGAAGTCTGATTTACATGCTCATAATTCGCATACAAATTTAGAGACTTTTCTTCTTAGCTTTAAAAAATATTTTTACTTACTCTTTGATAATTTAATACATTTATACAATGTGTTTTGATCATATCTACCCCTCTTACCTTTCTCCAACCTTCCAGGACCCAAAACCCATCTTCCTCTCAACTTTGTGTATTCTTTTATATTATTAATAATAATGATAACCCCCTGAGTCAAATTAATGTAGAGTATGTGTGCATGGGTTTGGGGTCATCCTCTAGGGCAAGGACAGTCTTACCTGAAGCCACCACATCTGCCAGGTGACCCAGGGTGACCCTTCCTATCTATGCTGGAGTTTTGGCTGCTTTAACCATACACAGTTCTTGTGCAGGCAACCATGGCTGTTGGGAGTTGCGGTATGAAACAGCCCACGTCCAGCATTTCACAACCCTTCTCCCATCCTCTCTTTAGCCTTACATTCTTCCAGCCTCATCCTCTGTGATGTTTCCTCAGACGTGGAAGGGAGGAGTTTGCTATAGATAGCCTATCTCAAGCTGAACACTGGCAATTACTTATTCTTGGCACTTTGATCAGCTAGGAGTTTCTGCAGTAACCACTGTGGTGCAAACGAAATTAGGCCCATATCTATCATTTTGCACGAAAACCAACTTTGAATGGATCAAAGGCCTTAATGTGAGACCTGAAACATTGAAACTGCTAGAAGAAAACATAACCAATACACCACTGAAAACTTGGCCAAAAGACCATGAATGGGAAGTCACATGCCCTAGGAAGAATTATATTTTTTCACTAATGGAAATATTTTCAAAGTACCATATATATTTTTGTTTGTATAAACAGGTCTGTGCTGATGTTAACCCGGATCTTCTCGATTTTTATTTTTATTTTGTCTCAGTGGTCTACACGTCTGCTTGTGGACCAGTATCATCATGTTTCGTAATCCCTCCAGCATTATTCTTTTTCTCCAGGATTGTTTTGGCTGTCTGTGGTCTTCTGTGGTTTCAGTTGAATTTTAGGATTGTTTTTTCTATTTCTGTGGTGAATGAACTAGGAACTGTATTGAATCTGTAAATAGCTTTTTGGAAATGGTCATTTTCAGGATACTAATCCTACAAATCTATGAACATTTCTCTCTCAGCAGTTTGAAGTTTTCTTTCTTTTTTTTAACTTTTTATTCATTCTTTGTGTCTTTCACATCATGCATCTCAATTCCATTCATTTCCCTCTTTCTTCGTATCCACCCTCTGCCAGTGATACTACACCACAACTCTTCAATTTGAACTCTGGCAAATATCCCAAGCATGGTCTCTATCCAAGTTGCAGTTATTCCCGTCTGACCTCTTCAGCTGAGCGTCCGAAGCCCGCATCGCTCTCAGCACTATTACCTTCTCAGCTCCTGCTGGGATTGCGCGTTAAGGCCTACTTACAGCATTCACCTGCTTTCCTAATCCAAAGTCCCAATGTCTTCCACATTCCTCTCAACCATTGGTTCTCAGGCTTCCTGATGCTGCAACTCTTTAATACAATTCCCCATGCTGTGGTGACCCCAACCGTAAATTTATTATTGTTCCTACATCATCACTGTAATTTTGCCATTATGAATCATAATGTAAATATCTGATATTTGAACCTTTTGCAAGGTTTCTTTGATACCCCAAACAGGTATCAACCCATAGGTTGAGAACTGCTGATCTAAACAATAGCAGGGTCACTATTGTCACAGCAATATTCCAGTCCCTAGTACCAACCTCTGTCCTAGTTGTTCTCTTGTCAAGATGCACCATGATCAAGGCAGCTTATTGGAGGCTTGCTTATAGTTTCATAGGGTTATTTAGTTCATGGTCATCCTCACAGGGAGCATGTTGGCAGGCAGCCAGGTATGGCACTAGAGCAGAAGTTGAAAACTTCCATCTTGATCCATAGGCAGGTAGGAGAGAGACAGTGAGATTGGGCCTGGTATGGACTTTTGAAACCTCCAGGTACACCCCAAGTGACACACCACCTCAACAAGACTACATGTTCTAATCCTTCCCAAACAATTCTACTAACTGGGGTCCAAGCATTCAAACACATTAGCCTATGGAAGCCATTCTCATTAAACCCACCACACAGAACTTCTGTCAGCTTACAGATTCTCTCTGGTGATTCACAGAAATTTGTAGCAGGCTCACTGTGCAGATGCTCCATAGGGGTTAGGCATAAGTGGAGGTGGCTGTGGTACAAGCCAGATTTGGTGACTCATTGGGGTCAAAGACTCGGAATGCTTAGTGGTCCTAGGGATTCTTGGTAGGTGGGTTTGCAAATTGTTTCTGGGATTTTGTACCTGGAGTTCCAGGTCATATTCACACAGTTCCTAGTACCATGGTGAGTAGGGTGGCTGATAGGTAGGTGGTTGAGCAGAATGTGTCTGGGGGTCCTGTTTGGAATTCTGGGTTAGAATTCATACAAGACCAGTGCCAGGTCATGCCGTGGATGTGTGTCTAGGAAGCAGGTAAAGAAGTGGGTCTTTGGTAGTTGCGTGGATTTTCAGGTCAGACTCCAGGAGGTGCCAGAGCTAGGTAGGTGGGTGAATGTTGTAGGGGGAGTTTTTCTATGTCCCGGCAGTCGCTCCCAGATAGCCACACAGAGACTTATTATTAATTATAAATGCTTGGCCAATAGTTTAGTCTTATCTCCAGCCAGGTCTTATAACTTAAATTAACCCATTTCCATTCATCTGTGTGCTGCCCCGAGGCTTGTTTACCTCATCCACGAACATCCCAGGTTGCTTCTTCCCTTTCTGGCTCAAGATTCCTCCAGCTCCACCCTCCTTCTTCCCAGCATTCTCTCTGACCTGAAAATTCTCCCTAGCTGTCAGCCAATCAGCTTTTTATTAACAATGAGAGCAACCCATTCTCACAGTGTACAGAAGGATTGTTCCACAGCAGGCCGGCAGAGGCATGTGTCTGGGGGGGCCTATCTCTCAAATTATTTTTATTTAGGCAGCTGATTTCTTCAGTGATCCATTTATCATTCAGTATGAAACTATACTCTCAGTGGTTTCTGTTGCTGCTGGTGTCTAGCTTTACCTCCTTGTAGTCTGTTTGAGTACAGAATGTTATTTCAGTTTTACGGTATTTATCGGGAATTGCTTGTCTTCAAATACAGGGCCGTTTTGGGAAAACATTCCATGGCCTGATGCTGAGAATATATATTCTTCAGTGTTTGGGTGAAATGTCCTGCAGATTTCTGTTAGATTCATTTGATTTGTTATTCTGTTTAATTCCAGTGTTTGTCTGATGTTTCTTCTGGATGGCTTGTGTATTAGTGAGAATGGGGTATTGAAATCATCTGCTGTCACTATGTTGGGTTTATAATTATTAATCCGTGCTTTTACATCTAGTAGAAAATGTTTTATGATATTGTATGCACCCGGTTTTGATTGTGTGTGTTTAGAAATTTTATATCACCTGGGGCTATTTATTGAGAATTTGAAGACTTTCTCATCCCTTCAGGCTATGTTTGAAGCCTGTTTTGTCATGTTAGGATAGCAATGCTTGCCTGTTTCCTAGTTATACTCGCTTGTGATATCCTTTCCCACCAGCTGGTGTCTGCCATTGGCAGTGAGATATTTTCATGGAGGCAAGAAAAGATAGATTGTGTTTCTTAATCCCTTCCGAAGTAAGGAGGCATTCCTAGAAAGAATGGTATACCCTGAGAGGGAACTTTTATAAGTGAAAAGTTGGCAAAATATTGCTGGGATAGGCAGAGAGGAAAAGGCAAGAAAATGTGCAGATAGACTTCTTAAACAGTGTTACCAAGTAGAGGAGGTTGACCTGCAAGAACCGGTGTTATAAGGGAGGTCGACCTGCAAGAACCAGTGTTATAAGGGAGGTCGAGCTGCAGGAGCCGGTGTTATAAGGGAGGTCGATCTGCAGGAGCCGGTGTTATAAGGGAGGTGTTATAAGGGAGGTGTTATAAAGCCACCACCACCTTAGAGGCCATGCTTTCCGTAGGAACTAGGTCACAGAAAACGGTAAAGTGAAATGAAATCATTTACTGTTTGGGCAAGGTGAGTGCTCTCATTTTTTCCCTCTTACCTTATCTGTGGACATCTTACAATTTATAGAAAGCTGTGAGACAAAGGTAGACTGTGTCTCTTCATCTTTAATTAATTCTTTCTTAGGAATAATGGGGATATAGGCCCCAGCTGCCCTCCTTGTCTCTATTTTGATAGAGTTATCCCCTAGTTTTTAAATTGGCATATATTCATTGTAATTTTAAAATATGTTTCAGATCAACTTGAACATGTGAAGTACCCTGAATTAGCTACAAAAGAAACAAACAGCTAGATAGCTATAGAAATTTAAAAATTAAAATAAAAAGAATAAAAATCAGATTATTAGGTAAATTAGATGAAATCTAGAATATTAAAGAACATCAATTTTAGCTTAAACGAATGTTTTATTTGAGCTAGTCGCTGTCACATTTATTTCTGTACTTTCTCATGCAGTGTGCTTTCTTTATATTGATTCCTTTTTTACTTAGCTGACTTCTTTTTTTTACTAATACATATTAATTGAACATTGTAATGGAGTCTATTGTGACCCACTGCATGTACTGATCAAATCTAAGCACCTTCCCCCACAGTCCCTTAGCTCGGGGGTCAGAGTACCTTTCAAGATAAGTCATTCTCCTAAGGGCTTCTGCAAAGATCTCTCAGCAGGACTCCTGGCTCTTGTCCTCTGTGAGCGAAGACTTGGGCGAAGAATCTGGGTGTTGCTCAGTGTAGAAGGAAATGATGTGAGGGAAAACAGAAAAGGAGTTCATCGGCCTGAGATTCAGAGGGGATGAGGCTAAGCGGGCGTGAGTCAGAACCGGGAGTGGCTGGAGCAGTAGCATGCCTTCTGTCTTTTCTAAGCGTAAAGTGCTGCCTCACCGTGTTGGGCCAGTTAACAGAATGATAAATTTCCACTGTTTCATGGCCTTTTCTACCCTAATTTTTGTGTCTTTTGTTTTCAGCAGTTCTCAATTTTCTGAAATAAATTATATATTTTGTTGTTGTTATTGTTTATGTTGTCTATTTGAAAATACACAGTCTTTGCAGAAAATGTTTTGTTGAACTGTAAAATTACTCCCTGCAGGTGAAAGGAAGATAGTAATGCTTTTCTTTTGGGGGTGGGACTCATTCCAGGCATAGCACTTCTCTACCTGCAGCTGTACCGGGTCACTGGCGACCAGACCTACCTGCTGCGGTCCCTGGATTACGTGAAGAGAACACTCCGGAATCTGAGTGGTCGCAGACTCACCTTCCTGTGTGGAGATGCCGGGCCCCTTGCCGTGGGAGCTGTGATCTACCACAGACTCAAAAGTGAATGTGAGTCCCAGGAATGCATCACAAAGTGAGTCTGAAAAATTGGAAATGTCTCCAGATGTTTTGTTGCAGAATTACTGAGCAAAGATGGTCAACAATTAACTGATTTTCTAATTGACAATTGCAAACAGATCTCTCTGAAAAGCGAAATATGTTAGTCTTACTGGTGGGATCATGCGTTCTTTTTATATACATGCAGGAGTGTCTCTTAATTTCTGTGGGGCTTTAATAATCATTCTAAACAATTTTTGATTGCCTTCAATGTATGAAAGTGAGTTCGCATTCATGAAATAGTTGGAGAATAGTTGGAGGTCAGTTTTTAGTTCTTAGTTATGGTGATGAGGGAATGATGATGGCGTGTGAAGGTTTTTAGTTCTTAGTTATGGTGATGAGGGAATGATGATGGCGTATGAAGGTTTTTGCAATGGTCAGCTTATATTCTTCCTGAACAAGCAGAAAGCAAGGTCCCTTTTTTGGATCTGGTAGAGTATCTGGCACGTGAGGACGTCTGATGTTGAAAGATGGAGCGTCTTAGTCTTACCTAAGCAGTAACTACATCTCAGCTTTATCTTACTCGGATTTTACATCACTTTCTTCTAATACTGGTTCTTAAAGTGTGAACTCTGTTTGTACTGTATGATTTAGAGTAGTAGAGAGGTGGACATTTGGGGCTGAAAGAATTTTTCTCAGAGCTGGAGATTGAATCCAGTACCTCATACACTTTTAACACTGGCCTACATCTCCAGCCCAGATACTTTTGATCTTAATTTTGTTATTTGAGTATATATTTATTTATTATGTATATAGTGACCTGTCTGCATGTATGCCTGCAGGCCAAAAGAAGGCATCTCATTACAGATGGTTATGAGCCACCACGTAGTTGCTGGGAATTGAACTCAGGACCTCTGGAAGAACAGTCAGTGCTCTTAACCTCTGAGCCATCTCTCCAGCCCCTAATTTTGTTATTTGAAACAGGAATTAGTAGAGAGGTTTTGATTGTTTTATGAACTTATTATTTTTTGGTCATAATTGAGAGAATTTTTAGGCATTTTCTGGGCTAACCCTTTGTCTTGTTGGTTAGACTTCTACAGATGCACAGAACCGTTGTCTGTCAAGAATCAGAGCTTCCTGATGAGCTGCTGTATGGACGGGCAGGTTACCTATATGCCTTACTGTACCTGAACACAGAGATTGGCCCAGGCACTGTTGGTGAGACAGCTATTAAAGAGGTATTGTGGGTCTGCTGAACCTACCAAAGTTCAAAGCTAACTGATAGCATACAGTTATATTAATACCCGGCCTCTGTTTCTAGGTAGGATTAGTTTTTTAAAAAAGTATCTCATAAAATATCTTTTAGAAATAGCTAATTTTCTTCTCAAACATCTTTTAAAAATCAGTGAACTGTGTTAGGTAGGTTGTGTTTCATTGGAACTACATAGTTCAACTTCAAGAGGTTAGAGGGAGGTGATCACAGATGGGTATCTGTATTCTTTTCATTCTGTTCTGCTGTCCTCTGCATATACCCGTCCACATAGCCAAATGTAGTCTGGGCACCCGTAGCCTGCTTGGAAAGGTAAAGAAACAGCTTCCTTTGGCAGGGTTCCCCTTACAACGTGCCCACCTCACATCTGCTCACGTCGCATTCCCACAACCTAGAGGGCTGGCTAGAAGGCTGGACGGACATTCCCACAACCTAGAAGGCTGGATGGACATTCCCACAACCTAGAGGGCTGGCTAGAAGGCTGGACGGACATTCCCACAACCTAGAAGGCTGGATGGACATTCCCACAACCTAGAGGGCTGGCTAGAAGGCTGGATGGACATTCCCACAACCTAGAGGGCTGGCTAGAAGGCTGGATGGACATTCCCACAACCTAGAGGGCTGGCTAGAAGGCTGGACGGACATTCCCACAACCTAGAGGGCTGGACGGACGCCCATCTGAAACTCACAGCACTTTACAAAGTGGGTCTTTGCCATGTAGTCATTCCAGGCATTAGAGCATAACACAGGAGACCCCGTTCCTTAACACCCCACCAACTTCACCAATGAAACTAGTGTGTGTACCGCCTTAGAGATTTATTTGCTGCCTTTCAGAGAAAACATAACAGCTATGAAGCAAGTAAGAAGTTTGGGGTGGTTTTTTTAATAGGAAGGTTTTATAAAATTTAGTCAACTATTTATACTAAGAACTTCAGTTCCCTAAGTAGACTTTTTAATGTTTTCCCCTCAAGCATTACTTTCTGATTTCTCTTTGACTGAATTTATTAAGTAAATGTAATTGTTAGATAATGGATGCTTAATTTTGTTTAATTAAATAACTTCTCTGTCTTCTCCCACACACCAATGTTAATTAGAGCAGATGAAGATGCTTGTAAGTTGTTTTGATGTCTAATGTCTCCTGTCTCCACAGGTAGTCACTGCTATTATTGAGTCAGGAAAGACGTTGTCAAGGGAAGAAAGGAAAACTGAGCGCTGCCCCCTGCTGTATCAGTGGCATAGAAAGCAGTATATTGGAGCAGCCCATGGCATGGCTGGAATCTACTACATGCTAATGCAGGTATGTAAGAGTTCCCTGGGATAATAAACATAGTGACCATATGCATTAGACCAATATGAACGGGGTATTAAACTCTTCATAGAGACCAAATAGACTGAATTGAGGGTTCTGGTTTGACTCACAGATAATTGACTTGGCTTTACAGCAGTGAATTCCTAAAAGTGCATTCCGTGTCTAGTTTGTCCCAGAATAGTCGCTTGTCACCCACTGCTCCCTTCTGCCCTCATCCTCCTCATGAAGTAGGGACTCTTTAAGGCAGGTATGTGCTTCAGATTCAGATGCTTGCTTGGGTTGATGTTATTTTTTTAAGAGAAATACAAATTATGAAAACTTTACTTACTTGCTTTTAAGGTGAGGAACACAGAAGCACTCTTTAGTAACTGCTGTTTAGAAACACGGGTCAGCTTCTACAGACACAGTTAAGGAGTGTGATGGAGCTGGCTGCTACCGAAGTGGCTACCTGTGTTACGTGCATATCCTCAGCACCATGCCGCCTGTCCTGCGGTCACTCCATCTCTCGTTGTCATTTTGAAGACTGGCAGTATAGTCTATATGAAAACTTTTCCAAATGCATTTGAAAAATGGAAGTCCACTTTTGCAGTGGTAGGATAAAGACAAAGTTCTCTTTTAAATCCTTTCTAAATAAAAGGAACAATGAACACAGAAATTCTAACTCTTTGATGAAACTAGGAACATGTAGGATCCCAAAAGAAAAAGGTATAAACTGAAAAGAAGTTAAAAAATGGCAAACGACCTAAGGGGACAGAGGATCACACAGGAATGCCCAAGGAAGCTGTCAGCAAAAAACCAATTGGTTTTTCCTGTAGAACCATAGAACTAGGGAACTTAAATACAACAGAAGCTGCACTGGTCCATGTCTGTGTTGAGATGAAGCCAGTGTAGTGGAGGAAGGGGCTTCTTCAGACATCTCTAAGGGGCTTTTGGATCTCTTAGACCCTTCTTTCCTATAAGCAACAAAATGAGTTGGGGCTTGATAAAGAAACCATCTGTTAGCTGGGTGGTGATGGCGCACGCCTTTAATCCCAGCACTCGGGAGGCAGAGGCAGGCGAATCTCTGGGAGTTCAAGGCCAGCCTGGTCTACACGAGCTCGTTCTAGGACAGGCACCAAAGCTACCAAAGCCACAGAGAAACCCTGTCTCAAAAAACCTGTTGAAATAAGGAGCTGCGGGCTGTGTCCCACCACCCGGCTAGCTTTACCCAAAATAATTACACGGAAACTGTATTCTTTTAAACACTGCCTGACCCATTAGTTTCAGTTTCTTATTGGCTAGCTTTTACATATTGATCTAACCCATTTCTATTAATCTGTGTAGCCCACAAGCTGGCTTACCAGGAATGATCTTAACCTGCGTCTGTCTGGAGTGGGAGAGCCATGGTGACTCCCTGACTCAGCTTCTTTCTCCCAGCATTCCGTTCTGTTTACTCCGCCTACCTAAGGGTTGGCCTATCAAATGGGTCTAGGCAGTTTCTTTATTAATAAGAAATCACTCCCACATCATTTCCCCTTTTTCTGTTTAAACAAAAAAGAAAGGCTTTAACTTTAACATAGTAAAATTACATATAGCAAAACAGTTATCAAGCAAGAATTACAGTTACAATATTTATATCTATTTTATCTTTTATCATAACTAAGGAAAACTATAACTATCTATTTATTCTTTAACTCCATCAAAGACTCCAGAAGGATATAATACTACCTAAGTAAACAAGAAATAAGAAAACTCTAGAAATGACAGAGACATCTCACTGCCTGGACAGTCGCCCAAAGTTCTTTTGTACGGTTGGGGCATCCATCTTCAGCCTTCAGGCCCATAGTATCCAGCAGACATTTTCATCAAGCAGGAAATTCCAAAGACAGTTCAGTCACTTTCTGCTGTGTCCTGCAGAATGTCTCGCAGACTCTTTCATGAGTCAGGAACCCCGAAAGGCCATCTCACCTTTAGGCAAGTTCAGCAGTCCTCTCTCTGCGGGTTCTCTTTGTCCAGTTTATGCAACAGTCCAGGCAAGAACAGTTTCTTGCCCAAATGGCTATCAAACTCCATAAGGATCCTCTTCGATGCCCATCTTCTTCTTGAAGTAGATTGGTGCTGCCAGGAGCAGAGAGAGTGTCTCATTGTCATGAAAAGTCCTAAGTTATTAAAACATTAAATGCCATATTCTGTAGTCTTTGAAAGATATGAAGAATGTCTATCTAACTGAAATATATCTCTATATATCTAGAAAATCTAACTAACATGACTACAAGCTTGACTATTATTGATGATTATCCATTAACCTATATTTCTTAATTATACATTACATTTTTAAATAAACTACACAATCACAATACCTTAATCAAGATCAGAAATACATATACATATAACAAAATTGACTGTAAAGTCCATACCAATGCAAATTACTCATACCTATATCATTTCCCCCTTTAAATGTAAAAGAACATTTATAAACAATATTTTGGGAACATGGGCACAGTTTTTTCTCTCCAAACTGCTTCCTGCTGAATGGGGGCGCTGTTAATCAGATCATTTAGGCTGTAACCTGTGTTCCAGGTTTATCTCAGTTGGCAGTTGAGTGAAGTAATTTTTTGAGGGTGTTCATAGGAACTTTTCGGGAGGTCGTGGTCTATCATATCATATCGGGATAGATGCAATCCATAGGGTCTGGTCCTCTGTGAAAACAAAAGAAGACCCTTTTCAAAGCATCATATCCTTAGACCCAAATTCTGAAGTCATACCCTCATGATATCCGTTTTGGTTCCATTTGGCAGCCCATACAATGAAATGTCTCTCTGTATTTAGCTCCTTCATAGTCAAAAATTTTAAAGAAAACATAATGTACATAATCCAGACTCTCTGTGAATTTTTTATTTTTATGTGGCTTATTTTTTTTCTTTCTTTTAATCTCTTAACTATCTGTACTCTGTCTCTTTAAAGATTTTATCTTTTTTTTAAACTATTAATTTTATTTTCTATATTCTTTTTTTTCTCTCTCTCAAGCCTATGTACATTTATCCAACAGTGTGGTCTTTTATGTTTGAATCTGTTTTATTGTGAATCTGTAATTTTTTATTATCCAGGAGCACTTTTGATTTGCGCCTTTAAATCATTAGGCGCTTAAGAATCTAAGCTGTGACATTCCTAGGTCAAAAACAGGTACTGCCTGCTGGCCCCGCCCAGTCCAACATGGCAGAGCTGCTCTTGCCTCTGATCCTTGTATATTGCACCATTAGCATGGTGGAGCTGCTTGTGCCTCTCAGTTGCGGCACGCAATGTCCCCCTTTTAGGCACACAGCAGTCTAGTTGCCTTCAAACAAATTGTAGCATTTTACTCCAAATGCTCCATTCAAAAGCTCTGTCTCCTGCAGGAGACAGATCGCAATGGCGGCACAGCCCAGAAAGCTGGCATTTTAAAACAGCCAGTTTTTTCCTGCTGCTGAGTCAGGAAAATTTCAAAATGGAGGATGTATCATTTTGTGCTAGCTCTGGGGCTGCCAGGTAGGAGCGGCACTCAGCATTTTAATTCTGAGACTGAGCATGCAGCACAGAAATTCTTTTCATCCAAGTTACAGCCAAATCTGACATGCAGAGCATTGTGCAGTCTGAAAACACACCATGCCCTTCAGCCTGCCTAAGCCTGATTCGGCCGTCTGCCCAGGTGCAGTTGGGGAGCGCTGAGCCATCAGCACAGTCTCACAGCATTTTCTTTCCGATCCCAAGCGGGAACACAAATATCCAGTCCCATAAAATCCATTGAAATGCTTTAAAGCCAGAGTTTACGCTGGCAGTACAGCCCCAAGAAGCTGCACTTTAAAATGACGTAGCGTTTTTTTCTGCTGCTGATGCCGAATCAGGAAATCTCTCTACAGCATGCCACCAACAAACAGCAAAAATCTGTGTTAAACTCTGTTTTTTCTCTGTTTAAAATTAAGCTCTCTCAGGTTTAAGTGGATTTAGCCCCACGTTGGGTGCCACTCTGTTGAAGGAGCTGCGGTGGGCTGTGTTCCCACTCAGCTCTGCACGGCTAGCTTTACCCGAAATAATTACACGGAAACTGTATTCTTTTAAACACCGCTTGGCCCATTTCTGTCTAGCCTCTTCTAGGCTAGCTCTTGTACCTGGACTAGCCCATTTCTAATAATCTGCTGTAGCCCACGAGCTGGCTTACCAGGAATGATCTTAACCTGCGTCTGTCTGGAGTGGAAGAATCATGGCGACTCTCTGACTCAGCTTCTTTCTCCCAGTCTTCCGTTCTGTTTACTCCACCCACCTAAGGGTGGGCCTATCAAATGGGCCTAGCAGTTTCTTTATTGCTTAACCAATGAAATCAACAGATTGATATATGATACTCCCACATCAAAAACCAAAAAAAAAAAAAAAAAAAAAAGAAAAGAAAAGAAAAGAAACTATCTGTTTTGATCAGAGAAGGCCAGACCAAGAAGAGATCAAAGGGAGCTGAATTCCACATGGGAGCACCATGTTGCATTACTGGCCTCAGACTCCTTTCAAACAGCAGCCAGTGCAGCCTCTGCCCCAGGGAAGAGACTAAAATCTCCTTTTGGAGACTCTAATTTTTTAATTTTGCTGTTGTTGTTGCTGTGACTGTATTCATTTTAGGTAGACTTTGTACTATTTCTAAAATCTCTGAGACAAGCAACTTTCCCAGGGGCTTTCGTCTTATTCAAGTAGTTAGCCATCATAGAAGGGAGCAAAGCTTTAGTTCTGTTATTTATCGAGAGGCTTTCTGTTAAACAGTAAACATACAAGGTTTAGGGTCTAGGTCTAGGTAGTTATCGATCCGTGAACTCAAGGACTGTTCAGGATACCAGATCTCATTCCTTTGGCCAGTTGCCAGAGTCCTGAGGTTCCAGTTCTTAGCTTTACAAGCTGTTAATTATGAGGAAGAAGTTCAGCCCTGATGTCCTGATCTTGCTTATATTTAACTAGAAGCTGTGATAAAATCCCTGCAGACAGCTTAAGGGACTCCTGGTTCAAGACAATACGATTCACTGCAGTTGAGGAGAGCATGGTGTCGGGAACACGAGGCATCAGCAGCCAGAGCTCAGGCTGGAAACAAAGCCTACCAGAGCCTTCAGCTAGGGCACACCTCCTAAAGGTTCCAGGACTTCCTAAAACAGTGCCACCAGCTGGAGAGGAGGGGTACTTGAGACTCAAAATATGACACCTATCTCAGGTAGAAGATGTATAAACAACAGGCATGTTGAAAAATGTTGGCTAGGCATCTGAATGGTTGATTTGTTGTTTACATCTGCCTAAGCCACAGTACCTAGACATTTGGTTAGACATCCTAGACATTTCTGTGAGGTTGTTTTGAGATGAGACGAGATGAGCCCAGCTCATCAACTGAAGTTCCTAATACAAAGGCTGACTTTGGGCAATCACAGGGTGTTCTCCAGCAGACTGGTTGAGGACTTGGATAGCATTAGCTCTTCCTGAGGACAGGGCCATCTGCTTTCAGCCTTGAACTACAAGTCTCCCCCACTTCTGCAGTCTGGTGCTTACCCTAGTCACACGTTAAGCTTGTAGAATATAATTTACCAACCAATTTCTTAACATCAAGAAGTAGTTGCATAGTTTAGAAAGAACACAATGAGTAGGAATATAGTCAAAAACGGTGATGAGAAAATGCTCTGGGGCTGATGAGAAACAAGGGAAACACTATCGTCTAAAATCAGTAGGCCAGGATGTAGCTGTCTACATGTTATTTAGCAATAGTGAGGAAATCACTAAAAAAGGAAAGCCATTTGTATCTCAAGAAGGAATGGTGGTTTCTTTTCATAATAAGTTTTCTAAACATTGTATTATGTATTTTATTTTATTTTTTAAGACAGGATCTCATGTAGCAAGGCTAGCCTCAATCTCCCTGTGTAAGCTGTTATAGCCTTGTACCCTTCCTTGATCTTTCTGCTCCACCTCTGAGTGTTAGAATTAAAGCATGCACACCTCAGACTTTAGCTAGATATAAATTTTTCTAGGCATAATTTAGTATTCTGAAATACACATCATGAACTATAGTTAGAAAAATATCTAACACATTCTGTATCTCAGGAAAGCAAAAGGTTTTCTCATATGTAAGTATTTTTTAATATTAAACTAACTTTCCTAACAAATTTTAGAAGCAAGTGTATTCTTTAAGTTGCATTTTACTCCATGCTTAACAAAGTTTTTTTGATAAGGAAATAAGATTATCTTATGTAATAGTAATAGGATAATAGCAATTTCACAGCAATATTTCTCTTTAGACTTGAATAATATATATGCCTCATTTAGAAGTTTGTTCAAAGAACCAAATGAAAATTAAGTCAATGGACAGAGACTTCTCTTTTTTTATTTTTTATTTTTATTTTATATACCAACCCCAGTTCCTACTCTCTCCTCTCTTCCAGCTCACCCCGCCTTCCACCCACCCCATCACCCCCCATCCACTACTCGGAGGGTGAGGCCTTCCCATGGGGAGTCAACAAAGTCTGGCACATCACTTTGAGGCAGGGACAAGCCCTCCCTCCTATATCTAGGCTGAGCAAACTATCCCTCCAAAGAGAATGGGCTCCAAAAACCCAGTTCAAGCACTTGGGTTAAGTCCTGGTCCTGCTGCTAGTGGCTCCACAGACTACCCCAGCGACACAACTGTCACCCACATCCAGAGGGCCTAGTTTGGGCCTATGCTGGTTCCCCTGCTGTCAGTCTGGAGTCTGTGAGCTTCCACTAGCTTAAGTCAGGTGTTTTTGTGGGTGTTCCCATCATGGTCTTGACCCCTTTGCTCATATCGTTGCTCCTCCCTCTTTTTGACTAGACTCTGGGAGCTCAGCCTAGTGCTAGCTTGGCTCTCTGTCTCTGTTTCCATCAGTTGCTGAATGAAGTTTCTATGATAACAGTTAAAGTATTCAATCTAATTACAGGGGAAGGCCAGTTTAGGTACCCTCTCCACTATTGCTTAGGGTCTTAGCTGGGGTCATCCTTGTGGATTCCTAGGAATTTCCCTGGTGCCAGGTTTCTTCCTAGCACTATCATGGCTCCCTCAATCAAGATATCTCTTTCCTTGCTCCCCCTTTCTGTCCTTCCCCCATCTAGTTCTCTCATGTTCTCCTCCCCACCTCCCTTCTCCTGCCTCCTCTCCCCTTCTACCCTCTCTTCTCCTCTCCCCACACTCCCAGTTTTCTCAGGAGTTCTTGTCTATTTCCCCTTCCCACAGAGATCCATGTATGTCGACAGAGACTTCTTTATCCCAGACTTTATCAATAGCCCAGATTTGTGAGGGCTTGGTAATATGTCACACTAAAAGACATCTAATTAGCCGTACTTGCAATTTGTTGCCACCATTTTTTGATGAGAATCTGTATAGTATTGTGAAACCCTTTGAATATTTTATATTTCACTACTTTTATTTAAAAAGAACGAACTGAAAGCGTTCCTTAAAATAGTATTTTCCAACTGTTTGTAGTCCGAGTTCCATAATGCAAACTTGATTCATTTTCCAATGAATGTTTTCAGTGAGTAATAACCATTATTATACAAACTACTGAATGAAGGAGATAGGCATATACTTTTCAATAGGAGCTAATTATTCTGATTATCTTATAAAGAAATTGAGGTGAAATAATTTGACCAGAATGAAAAAGCCAGTTGATAGATTTGAGAGGTGTGTTGTACTTGGCCTTTGGGAGGAGGCAAAAGCCACATGGAAGGAAATGAGAGATTAGACAGCACACACACAAAACTCTCATAATTCAGGGTTCATTAGAGTCCCCTGCTCTTCTCACCCCTCTGGATGATGGCTTGATTTCAAGTGGTGGCCTCAGTTCGTCAAAGAATAGAAAGTTCAACACATTGGAACACTAATACATTCAAGATTTCCAAGAATTGAAACAAATAAAAAAGCTATGTCTGAAAAAAAAAAAAACAAACCAAAAGATTGTATCTAATTTTGTATCTTCTTTAGTGTTATGATTAATTAATGCTTTATTAGATTAGCCATGTTACAGTAGTTAAAAAACAGAAAGATAAATTGTTTTCTTTTGTGCCTTTAAAGCCAGAAGCAAAAGTGGACCAAGAAACCTTAACAGAAATGGTGAAACCTAGTATTGATTATGTGCGCCACAAAAAATTCCGATCTGGAAATTACCCGTCCTCATTAAGCAATGAGACAGACCGATTGGTCCACTGGTGCCATGGTGCCCCAGGAGTCATCCACATGCTCCTGCAGGCCTATCAGGTTAGTGCCTCTGCATCGTTCAGCTTGTACACTGAATACTGATTTAAATTTCGCATTCTGTGCTGGTGTGAGTGTACATGTGCCGGGCCATGTGTGTAGAGCTCAGAGGGCCTTGGGTGTCATCTCCATGTTCATGTGGGCACACATGTGCCGAGTCAGGGGGAACCTGGGGTGTTGGTCTTCGCTTTCCATCATGTTTGAGCAGGGACTGTTGTCATTTTGCTGCTATGCATGCTAGGCTGGATGGCCTGTGCGCTTCTGAGGACTTCCTTTTTCCTGATGGAGCACTGGATTACGAATGTGTGCTATCACAGCCACCTTCCCACGGATTCTGGGGGGCGGAACCCAAGGCCGCATGCTATGCAAGTGCTTTAACTTCTGAACCATCTCTCCCACCTCACTTTCTACCTTTTAATTTAATTAGTTTTGTATTTGTGTACATTGTGCGATCATGTATGCTTAGGTACATATATGTGTCCATGTATTTAAGGGCCAGTGGTTAGCCTCGGATATGGTTCCTCCGGTACCATTTGTTTTATTTTTTTCTGAATTTCTCACTGCCCTAGAACACACTGAGTGGGCTAGACTGGCTGGTCAGTGAGCTCCAGGGATCAGCATTTCTCCATCTCCCCAGCACCAGGATTACAAGCTAACAAATCTGACTTATTTTTTAAGTTATGTATGTATCTCTCTCTCTCTCTCTCTCTCTCTCTCTCTGTGTATACATATATATATAATTTTTTTGAGATTATAAAATAATATTATTTCCCCACTTCCCTTTCTTTCCTCCAGTCTCTCCCATGTATTCCCTAACTTTCTTTCAAATTCATGGCCTCTTTTTCTTTAGTTGTTAAATATAAATATATACATATATACACACAACACACATATGTATATCGTACATATTGTATATACATATATTGCTTTATGTTATATGAATATATTACACATATGTGTATATACACAGATTATACACATTACATGTATATATTATATCTATTCCCTAATATACAAATACAATATGTTCATTCTATATGGCATTACTTGTAAATGTGTTTTGGGGGTGACCATTTGCACTGGATAACCAACTTCTGTGCTCTTTCCTGAAGAAGACTGGTTTTTTTTTTTTTTCTTTCAGCATCCTTTAGTTTAAAATCTGGAACAAGGCTGGGCATGGAATATTCCCTTTATCCCAGTACATGGGAACCATAGGGCAGCAGATCTTTGTGAGTTCAAAGACAGTCTGGTCTATATAGCAAATTCCAGGATAGCCAGGGCTACTTAGAGAGATCTGTCTTTAAATAATATAAATAAATAAAATCAGGACTGCGACAGGGCTGTTCACTGTCTCCACTTATTTTCAATATAGTGTTTGAATCACTAGCTACAGCAGCAAGATAAAGAGAGTAAAGGGACACAAGTCAGAAAAGAAGTCAAACTATCCCTGTTTACAGACGACATGATCTTATACAGAAGAGATCCCAAAGATTCCACTGGAAAACTTCCAGAAATGATCAACACTTTTAGCAAAATGGCAGGATATAAAATCAACTTGCTATAGACACATTGAGAAAGAGATCATGAAAGTGATACCATTCACAATAGCCAAAAAAAAAAAGAAAAAAGAAAAAAGAAAAAAGAAAAAGAAAACAAAGGCAAGAAAAAGTAGCAAAAAACTAAGGAGGTAAAAGACCCCGCTAGTGAATTCTTTAAATCTTTAAATAAAGAGATCGAGGAGACATTAGAAGATGGAAAGACCTCTTATACTCACAGATTGGCAGAGTAAATATTTAAATATTGTGAAAATAACCATCCTATCAAAACCAGTATACTAGGAAAATTTATGGATGGATGGATGGATGATAGGTTGTACGTGGATGGATGATAGGTAGGTAGATAGATAGATGATACTAGACATACTAGTACATTTAAAGTTCTTGCTTCCCTCCTGAGCCCTACTGCTACAGTCTGCTTTTCTCTCCATGGTCTTTCAGATCCTGCTAGGGTGGTCCATTAAGCCCTGCTTATAGATTGAACCACTTTTCTAATCCAAAGTCCCAAAGATTTCATCATTCATTGAAAAAAAAAAACCAACCAAACAAACAAACCAAATATGGTCAGGCCCTTCACAGCAATTCCCCCACAATTCTGGTACCAGTATCTTCTATGTTAGTTTACTTTTCTGTTGTATAAAACACCATAACCGAGGCAACTGATAGAAGCGATGGTTTATTTGGCTTACAGTTCATCATGGCAAGGGAACATGGCAGCAATCAGGAGTCATAGTGTTGGAGCAGAAGCTGAAGACTCACATCTTAAATTGCAAGTAGAAAGCAGAGAGTGAAGTAGGAAAGGCATATGGATTTAGAACCCTCTCAAAGGCCACCCCCAGTGATGTATTTTCTACAGCCGCACCACTTCTCCCAAGCCTCACAGGACAGCACCACCAACTGGAGACCAAATATTCAAATTCCAGAGAATGTATTATTCTTATTCAAATTACCACAGGAAGGAATTCATGTATGACATGGTAAAACTAGTCTGCTATCCAGGACTGGTATTACCCAGGGACCCTAGGGAGAACCTATTATTGCCACTCCTCTAAACCAGTGTCATTTGTAACCACATTCTAGATACTTATCCATCTAGTCACAGGGAAGTGTAGCTCTCATCTCATTTTTTTAAAAAAAAGGAAATGAAAACAAAGCACCCTTTTTTCAGTAGCCAAAGACCATTAAGACCCAACTGGTCAAAATTCAGAGACCAACTCTCTATGGGGTTTCCAACAGCAACTGATATATCCTCAATACAACCCTTTCATGTACCACTCAGAACACTATGAAGAACACTATGAAGTAGTGGTGAAAAGACTTTAAGAGCTAAAGGACCAGGACATGTGCTCTGCTGCAGGGTAATTTCTTGTATATGTGATAGGTATTCTGCACCCATGAAACCTCAACAATATGGATTCCTAAATAAGACCTGAAAAATGACAATACCAATTGACATGCCACTGTGAATGCAGAAATTTCACAAGGCCCCACCCTTAACCTTAGTGAGGGAGATTCAGTCTTCTCCAGGGACGAGCCTCTAGATAGGTGATCTCCAAAGCAATCAGTCAGCCCTAAACATACACATACAAGCAACACTAAATAATATATATGTATGTATATATGTGTGTGTATGTGTGTGTGTAATAATTTTATATACATATATATGTATTACACACACACACACACACACACACACACATTGGTTTCTTGAAACAGGGTTTCTCTTTGTAGCCCTGGCTGTCCTGGAACTTACTCTGTAGACTAGGCTGGCCTTGAACTCCACCTGCCTCTGCCTCCCAAGTGCTGGGATTAAAGGAGTGTGCTACCATCACCCAGCTGTAACAATAATAATTAATAATTTAGAAGCCATGAATTTGGGGGACATGGAAGGACTGAGAGGGAAGGGAAAAGGAAGAAATTGTGTAAATATAGTACACACATGAATTTCTCAAAGATATTTTAAAAATTGACATTTCAAAAACCAGCTGGTATTCTGATGGGGAGTCTTTTAAAGTAACTTGATCTTTCTTAGTTTTCAATGTCCTATATTCTATGAATTTAGTGTTTTGACTGTTGCATGACATGGGGACTTACTTTCTTTTCTGGTCCTGTCTGTTTGGTATTTTGTATGCCTCTTCAACTTTAATAGGCATCTCTTTCTTTAGATGAGGCAAGTTTTGTATAATTTTGTAGAAAATATTTTCTTTGCTTTTGACCTGGATTTCTTCTCCTTCTATACCTATTATTTGTAGGTTCATGTTTTTTTTGTGTGTGTGTTTTTTGTTTGTTTATTTTTGCTTTTTGAGACAGGGTTTCTCTGTGGTTTTGGAGCCTGTCCTGGAACTAGCTCTTGTAGACCAGGCTGGTCTCGAACTCCCAGAGATCCGCCTGCCTCTGCCTCCCGAGTGCTGGGATTAGAGGTGTGCCCCACTACTGTCCGGCTTCAGTTTTGTTTTTTAGTGTTCGGCTCCTTCATGTCCTGTTCATGGTTTCTTTTTTTTTTTTCTGTTGGACTTGAGATTTTCTTTGATTCAGTGATCAAATTCCTCTCCTTTGTCTTCAAAGCCTGATATTCTCTGTTCAGTTTGATCCAATCTATGGATGAGACTCTCCTGAGTTATTTCATTTTGTCTCTCTTCTGAGAGTCTCTTTATTAGGTTCTGTTTTCATATCTTGTATTGTTTTCGTTATTCCATTCACAGTTTTCAGTCTTTATTCTGGTATTTGTTCACATATTCTCTGAGTTCCTTGTTCATGTGTATCGTTGCTGTTTTACATCTTGTTTTCTGTGTCATCTGAGTTGTGTTTGTTCAGGAACATCACTAAGAGAGGACTGCGTTTTCAGTGATGGTCTATTTAGGTGGCGTGTGCTATTGCAATGGGACCTAGATATCTGAAGTTATTTTGTTGGTACTGTTTCTTGGCATGGAAATCGTGTCTGTACTTTGTTGACTTGATGTTTGGATCTCTCTTTTCATTGACCTCAACTTGTCAGATTGTCTTCAGTTGAATGGGGTTTAGGGTTCAGTCTTGGAGCAATTTAGTGTTGATGCCCAAATGGGGTAACAGAAGTAGGTGGGGCTCATCTCAGACTCGGGGAAGTTTCTAAGCCCAGTAGAAGTCTGGAGGAGGTGCTCAGGATGTGTGGAGAGGAGAGGCCCAGTTTAGAGTTTAGTCGCCATCCAGGCACAGGGTGCCAGACTAGGCCTCAACACTGAATGTGGGACCAGAGCTAGATCTGGTGGATTAAGGAGGATGGGGTGGGGGACTCACTGGGATAGACCCTAGAGGAGAAGGATGAGCAGGACATGGCTGGCTGGAGAGCTTCTTCTGTTTGCTTAACCATAATGCTTGTTCAGTCTTCCTAATGTATACTTTTCTAATCAGTGGGGGAAATGGTTTTGTAGTTCTTCATTGAAAACATTTTGCTGACACTGTTTTGTTTTCTCCCTCTCTAGGTTTTTAAAGAGGAAAAATACTTGAAAGAGGCCATGGAGTGCAGCGATGTGATTTGGCAGCGAGGTCTGCTCCGGAAAGGCTATGGAATCTGCCATGGAACCTCTGGAAATGGTTATTCCTTTTTGTCCCTTTACCACCTTACGCAGGATAAGAAGTACCTCTATCGAGCCTGCAAGGTGAGGACATCTCTATCCCTGCAGCTCCGTAACTTCCCAGGACAGAGTCCAATAGTACTACTCTTCGCTCCTTGAGCCTGTCCATCCCAATCTGTGGTTGAACCTGTTTCTTCTGTCACATCATTGTCCTTGATCCTCTGTCCCCATCTTTGAGATGAGGGCAGCAAACATAAAGGTTACTCTGAAGACCAGAAGTTCAGGGATCACACTGCCTAGTCAGAGTTACTGTACTGTGTATAAGCATCGTTTATGTGTTTGTTTTTGAAGAGTCTGAGCTAGCGCAGAGGGGCTTTGGTTTTGCTGTTCCCAAAGATGACCACGAACTCTGATCTTCCTGCTGCTCCCCCTCCCAGGTTCTAGGTTATAGATCTTTGATGTCATAGCCAGCTTTTATATAAGCTTTATTGTCCTAAAGTACATTTATTCTTCAAGCCTCTATTTCTTTATTTGAAAAAAATGAAGAGAAAACAACTACCTATCTACCCAGGATGTTTCAAGAATTAAAATGAGATAACATGTAGACTATCTACAATTGTTCCTAGTTAAAGAATTAAATGAGGTAACATGTAGACTATCTACAATTGTTCCTAGTTAAAGCCTTCATTAGTGTCACATTTGACTGCGTGACAAACCTACACTCCTCTCCAAGTTTCCGTAGTCCTGCATGCCTTGACCCTTGCCGGTTTCTCTACCTTTTCCCATCTTCTGCCCCTTTCAGACGTACTGCCTCACTGCACCTCCCTCTCAATGTAACGGACTCTAAACTGTTATTACCTGTTTCCTTCACCAAAAATGTACTTCCCTCTGCAATTTACAGAGCAACTCTTTGCCACTCCAGGGTTAGTTTAACTGTGACATTCTTCAGGATCTTTAAGACTGCCACATGGAAGAATCTTCCAGTTATTCATTGAGTGTATTGCTTATTGCTTGGCTCAAACTGGTGAAATGTAAGCTCCATGGTTGATGGTTGTCCTTGTCTAGGTTACTCTTCTGGAATATGTACAACAGTAGCACATGGCCCTAAATAGAAACAAATATGGCTTCAGTATATTTTCATGAGTGGCAAGAAGCTAGACTTGGTAAATGCTTGCTTGTATTTTTATTACTTGGCATGTTTCACATAGTGCAATTATGTGCAGACACTGAACAATAGAAGAAATGTTTGCAGTGGACATTGACAGATAGAGGCATTATGGATAACATATTTGTATACCATCTGGACAGTGACCCCCTGTGTTTTAGGGTGTTTTTGTTAGTTTGTTTTTGTCAACTCAAATAAAATGGCTTCTCTGTTTTTGAATATCTGTAGGGTGCCCAATTCACGGATTAATCATGGGATGCTGTAGAAGCATGTAAGAGGGCAGAACCCAGTCTGGTTATGCAAGATCAGAAAGTGGTTTGTAAGCCAAAACAGGAAGACAGCTGGAAGTTATGCAGAAGGGAATGGGGAACATTGTAGAGAGAGGAAACTGCCTGCCCAGAGGCTTGGAGCTTGAAGCATCCAAAGATATAAAGTTCATGATTGCTAGGTCATGGGGTTAGGGCAGAACAGGAGCTAGAGGCAGGGGTAACTTTAATATTAGATGGTTACATATATAGGGAGGCCTATTTCCTCACCAATAATATTTTGCAAGTGAGTCAGGAAGGGAGTAACCTAGGGAAGGGGGATACTTTCCTTTAGAGTACCCAGCACAAAGCAACAGAGTCGGGGGCATCTTAGTGTATCTTGGAGAGGGAGCACCTCAGTGCTGTGGGATGCCATGGTGGGGGCGGTGTGTTAAATATGACTTGAAGTCACATGTGCCCAGAGCAGTTCTCAACCTTGATTATACCTGAGGACCAGTGTGACCTACTCTAGACCATTTAAATAAAGAATCCTTCTTACTAGTGATTTTTGGGACCCACAGGTGATTTTTAAAACTAGACAGCACTGAACACCAGTTTGGAAAATGGAGGATTCATGTTGAGACTCTTCTTTAGAAACATCACCATGGATCTGGGTGGGAAGGATCAGGAGAAACCTGGGTTCCCACACTGGTGTTTGTCGAGTCCTTGGTGGGGAAGTGATGAGTTAGACACCAAGGCAGTGTCTGTGATAGAAGAACGAAGGCCTTAGCTTATTAAGGATGCAAAGCCCAGAGAGTAAAGAGCTAAGGGCCGAAGTATTTTCCTAATGGAGAATTGTTCCAGCAACAGTTTATAAGACAGCAAAGAGACACGGAGGAAAAAGCTGCACACTGAGTGTGTTCTCCAGAAGTAACCAAGGCCAGCGGGAGCCAGCAGCCAAGTCGAAGGCAAGTTCAGGGCAGGAATTTTTATTCAGATGGAGCAAGCACTTGGAAGTAATAGGCAGGGTGCTGCTGAATTTTGCTTTTCTCCTCCAGGTGTCCCTACAATGTTTTAAGGTAGATGTGGCCTCAAAGTTTGAAAATGAAATTTATGCCCTGGCAATGCTGAAGCATGCATGGGTGCCCATATATGGTGATTCTTGTCCATATTGGGTTTCATAGTCTAAGTTGATGAGGTCGACTGACCAGGTCTCTAACTCAAGAGAGTGCCAGATCTCATTACAGATGGTTGTGAGCCACCATGTGGTTGCTGGGAATTGAACTCAGGACCTTTGGAATGAGCAGGCAGTGCTCTTAACCACTGAGCCATTTCTCCAACCCTACAGAAGAGGAAACAGGCAAGGAAGGGTCCCTAACTCTCATCCTGCTAGGGGGTTTTGTTCAAACAATACAGTTCAGAGCCCTAGAATCACTACTGTTCAAACTGGCCTCTTTAATTATTTGTTTCAATATTTATTTTTGTTATTTTAGTTATGTGTTGGTGTGTGTCTATGTATAGGAATGTGCATGTAAGTGCAGATGTCTGAAGATGGCAGAGGAGTCAGTTCCCACTAACGCTGGAGTTTCAGGTGTTTGTGAGCACCTGGCGTGGGTGCTTAGAATTGAACTAGGGTCCTCTGGAAGAGTACTATATGCTCTTAACCACTGAGCCTCTCTTGAGCCCCCTATTCAGTTCCTATAAACTCATTCAAGTGTCCCATTTGTTGCCTCTTAAGAAATTCTATTCTTGCCGGGCGGTGGTGGCGCACGCCTGTAATCCCAGCACTCGGGAGGCAGAGGCAGGTGGATCTCTGTGAGTTCGAGGCCAGCCTGGTCTACAAAGGGAGTTCCAGGACAGGCTCCAAAGCTACAGAGAAACCCTGTCTCAAAAAAACAAACAAACAAACAAAAACAAACAAACAAAAAAAGAAATTCTATTCTTAAAAAGGGTTGTCTTTCTTGTTAGTTTGCAGAGTGGTGCCTCGATTATGGAGCACATGGGTGTCGCATTCCTGACAGACCGTATTCCCTCTTTGAAGGTAGGAGAGTATTAAAAATAAAATCTTACATTTGGATATTTGGTTCTTCTGTTCTAAGTACAAGCATTAGTACATTCAATGTTGCTTGAGTAATGCTTCAGAACTAAAACAAAATTATAGTAAGCATGTTTATCTTGCCTACATTTGTTCTGCGAATATCTCCAAAAACTTTAGAACTTCTGTGAAATACATAGGCAGACAAAGCCTGGAAGGCTTATTGGATAGGGGGATAATAAGTTTCCTCTTCTGCATTTTATATATTATTCTATATGTTCTTAGTTTTTTAAATACACTTAATTCTTTAAATTATATAAACAATTTCTAGTAACTAATATTAATGGAAAATAGTAGTTGGATATTAATAATTAGAAAAATGAGTGAAAATTGAAGACTATTCAATATTTTTACTGATGGCTATAACAAGGTCATTAGTGAAAACAATAATTATGTAGTCTATCCAGGTTGATAAGTATACAAGAATGTAATATAATTAATAAATATTATAATTATAATTGAAGTTCTAGAAAGACAAAAATTCTTTTTGGTTTATTATATTTTCTTTAGCTTCTAAGAAAGTAATTTTCTTTTGTTATTTTAAAAATTATTATTATTATTTTTTAAATATTTATTTATTTATTAAGTATACAATATTTTATCTGAATGTATGCCTGAAGGCCAGAAGAGGGCACCAGACCTCATTACCGATGGTTGTGAGCCGCCATGTGGTTGCTGGGAATTGAACTCCAGACCTTTGGAAGAGTAGGCAATGCTCTTAACCTCTGAGCCATCTCTCCAGCCCCTTAAAAATTATTTTTAAAACAGTCTTTTATTTTACATACTAACACCAGTTCCCTTCTCCTACCCTCTCCCACTTACCTGACTTTTCCCCCATCCCACTCCCTATCCACTCCTCAGAGAGGGTGAAGCCTCCCATGAGGAGTCAACAAAGTCTGTCACATCACTTGAGGCAGGACCAGGGCCCTCTTCCCTGTATCTGGGCTGAACAAGGTATCCCTCCATAGGAATGGGCTCCAAAGAGCCAGTTCATGCATAGGGATAAATACTGGTTCCATGATCAGTGGTCCCACAAACTGCCCAGCCACACAACTGTCACCCACATTCAGAGGGCCGGGCCTAGCTCAGTCTTATGCAGGTTCTTCAGCTGTCAGTTCAGAGTCATTTAGCTTCCACTAACTCAGGTCAGATGGTTCTGTGGATGTCCCCATTATGGTCTTGACCCCTTTCCTTATATTATTGCTCTTCCCTCTCTATGAATGGATTCTAGGAGCTTGGTCCAATGCTTAGCTGTGGATCTCTGCTTCTCCTTTGATCAAGTACTGGTTGAAGGTTCTATGATGAGAATTAAGGTAGTCATCAATCTGCTTACAGGGGAAGGGCAGTTAAGGTATCCTTTCCACTATTGCTTCAATTCTTAACTGGGATCATCCTTTATAGGTTCCTGGGAATTTCCCTGGTGCCAGGTTTCTCACAAACCCTATAATGGCTCCCACTAACAAGATATCTCTTTCCTTACTCTCCCAACCCACCTTCCCAATCCCTCTTTCCGCTCCCCTTCTCCTCTCCTCACTCTCCTTCTACTATTCCACCCTCCCCCCACATTCCCAGTCACTCAGGAGATCTTGTCTATTTCGCATGGGGATGTTATAGAGTGGCCTCATATAATAACTTCTGCATTATTTCTCTCTCTCTCTCTCTCTCTATATATATATATATATATATATATATATATATATATATGCATGCACTTATTTGAAAATTACTTTTTTAGAAGCTAAAGAAAATATAAGACTATAGAAGCTTTGACAGGAAAATTTCATTTGTTGACATACAGTCGGTAACATCCTTAAATTCTTCAAGGGCTTTTGTTTGTTTTATCATTGGATTATAGTACTCAACCCTCATGCTTGTTAGATAAGCACTATAGCTGCATCCTAGATCTACATCTGTATCTCTTTGGTAGATGCTGCAATATCATCTTAACATTTCTAATGCACGATGAAGATCCAAAAGCTGCTCCTTAAAACATAATATAATGGAGTTGAGAAAATAGAGCAGTAGGTAAATTTATAATATAAACATAATATAATGGAGTTGAGAAAATAGCGCAGTAGGTAAATTTATAATATAAACATAATATAATGGAGTTGAGAAAATAGCGCAGTAAGTAAATTTGCTTGTCACACAAGTGTGAGAATCTGAGTTTGAATCCCCAGAACCCAGATGTGTACATGTATATAGCTCAAGTGTATAATTCCATTACTTTGAAGAGTAATTGGGACGTGAGGCAGGAGGAACCTCAGAATCTTGCCAATCAGCTACATTGGTGTGTGTGCAATAGAAAATGGAAACCCTGTTTCAAACAAGGTGGAAGGCAAGGACTGACACTTCAAGTTGTCTGCTGATGTCCATACTCACACTGCATATGCCTGAATTCACACACACACACACACACAAATAAGGAATGGTATAATTAATTGCCTGATGGGTGCTGTTCCTATTGATGCTACTTTTAACTGATGATGGGACTTTCCCTTATGTCCTTATAGCCCCTGTAGATGAAGGAAGGGATTAATGTCACTTTATTTTATTCACTAGCCCATGCAGTTCTTAAGAGATGCACATTTTGCTTTGCAGGTATGGCTGGTGCTGTTCACTTTCTCTCTGACATCTTGGTACCAGAGACGTCACGGTTTCCAGCATTTGAACTTGGCTTTTTGCAGAAGGATTAAAATGGTGCAAAAAGACAACTAACATACCATTGGACCAAAATCCACCGGACTGATTAGTGCCTGACACAGAACCTAATGTAAAGAAAAAAGGGGGGGGGGGCAAAACCCTCACAGCCCCTTTTGTTGTGGAAACCCCCAAACTAGAGCATGAGTGATGGAAACCACACGTCAGCACTTTGTGACAGCGTTCCCCTTCATGGTGAAATACGAATTCTCCCTCTCTAGGCTCCCTGTAGTGTGCATGTTTCTTGGTGCTTGTCTATAGGTGTAAATTGACTAGATAGAAGAGTCACACTCATCACCTGACCTCTTAGCTGAGCATGTGGGAGTGTCTAAGGCGACAGCCACACCTTTTTGTACATAGTATCTAAAGTAGGGTGTCATCTCTATCAACAAAGAAACAGTTGTGTGACGTGTCTGAAACATCAGCTAGCAGATCTAGATACCTTGTGAGGAAAGTGTATTAGCCTTTTCCATGGGCAGCTTTCAGAAGAGCGGGAGAGAAAGGCAGAAGGAAAGTGGGCAACTCGGCATGCACTGTACAGCTCGAGAAGGCGCAGGGGACACCACTTCCCTCTTTGTGTCTTATGGTCAACACAATTAGTGACTAATTATTAGCAGTCCTCAGACAGTCACCCAGATCAAAACAGCCGCCACCTGTTATCAGTACAGCTTATCCCTGAAAAACAGAGTAGAGAATGCCAGCCAGATCCATCTATAGCCCTTCAAAAGTTTATTTCTTATGTTGGTAACTTATTAAGGTATGAATTTAATACATCCTTTATTTTTCATACAAATTGAGGGGATAAATTCTAGGCTGAATTTATACACACAAGGAACAAACATTCTAACCAAGACAATTATTACCTGGGTAATTTTTTTTTTAGTTTTTTTTTTTTTTTTTTGAGACAGGGTTTCTCTGTGGTTTTGGAGCCTGTCCCGGAACTAGCTCTTGTAGACCAGGCTGGTCTCCAACTCACAGAGATCCACCTGCCTCTGCCTCCCGAGTGCTGGGATTAAAGGCGTGTGCCACCACCGCCTGGCTTCTGGGTGATTTTTAAATTATTTTTAAGGACATCTTGTTGGATTCACATACGGTTAATAATCCTGTCACATAAATTTCAGAGTTTGGTTGTTGTTCGTGATACAAGTGGGCAGGATTGTGTAATAGTCTGGACCTCAGTACTTCCTAAATACTTGCCCTAGTTACTACTCCTTTTATAAAGTAGGAAGAATTGTGAGTCTTCAAGAAAAGGCCTCTTCATGAGTGGACCATTTTGAGTGCTGAACGTTGTTTGTGGGACTGGTACCCTAAACATCTGGCCTTCAGTTTCCAGGTGATGCCTCCTAAATCTCTTCATTCTAAGTCGTGACTATTCTGGTTCACCTTGGGTTGATTAGTTCCATGTATGTAAATCCCCATGATTATCCTCTAATCTCTGTGAGCCCGATAATGGGCTTCACAGGGCCGCCCAGCACCTTCTTACCTAAAGGTAGGGCAAACCATCCCAGACAGGCTGAGGGGAAGTCGTTCTGCAGAACTAGACAGGTGCTGTCTAGTCTCATCCGAACCATACAGTTTTCATCCTCTTACCCATTTCAACACAAATAATACACAGCAGAGCTAATCTCTGAGATCCGGATTGTGTAATTCATGAAGGAAGCCCCTGGGGCTGTGTAGTAAGCCCTTTTCTGAACCAAGGTGGCAGTTTACAGGGCTCTGGCTTTGACCAAGGGCCCTCAAGGCAACAGTAGCATTGGTGACTCTCCCCTTTATGTTTACTCATAACTGGTTGACAAATAACTAGTATCTTCCTGGCCAACCTGCCGAGGGAAAAATCAAATACCCCCAGGATGAATGGGGGGTTTTGTTTGTTCCCACTCACCACTGGTATCTACAGTCGTGCATCTCCGTCGCTGTCACCGATTCCTTCCTCACACCCTTATGCTGCTGTCCTACAAAAGCTGCAGCCCCCGTCCCATAAGGCCAAGGAGGGATGGCATGCAAACCAGGACTGAGGGCTCAAATATGACCATTTGATAGTTATAAATGTATGAAATCTAATTTAAGAACATCTCACTTTTGTTTCTTAGGCTTGTTTTATGTCAACAACTGTATTCTAAATGTGTTGAAAAATTTAAAATATGTACACACAGAATACCATTTTGAACTCTGGAGGGAAAAAGGTAATGTCCACAAAAAGTGTTTGGGGTTCTTTGGTTTTGTTAATAAAAGACAGTTTTGTGGTGAGGACTTATGGAGCCTTCCTATTTTCTCCTTTCTGTCTCAGTTCAACAGTGTGAAAGTGGGAAATGCTATGACTATACTGATCTTTTCCTCCTGGTCGCAATCCAGCTTTGGTAGTTATAATGATCCAAGGGGTGTGGCGAGGCATGGGACAGTGCCAGCGGTTTCAGTCCTGTTCATGAGAAAGACAAACCCTTCCTCGAATCCCTGAGTGTTTCATGAATGTTTCATAGCCAGAACTGGTCACATCATCTTCTCCCACCATAAGGACTAGGACAGTTGCTATATATGGCTTACTTGATTATTTAAAAGGCAAGACTGGGGTGAAGAGTGAGGGGCTGGATATACCAAGTGACTGAAGTGTTGCTCCATGATTCAGAAAGGAAGCATTTAAGAATGGAAGTATATAGCAGGATGCAGTGCTGGTTTAACTGAATTATGAGTGTCTTGGTTACTTTTCTATTGCTGCAACAAATCACCATGGCCAAGGATGTTTAATAAAACATTTAATTTGGGGTGCATGGTTTTAGGGGTTAGAGTCTGACCATTATGGCAAGCATGACAGCAGGCAGGCAGGCATCTAAGTGCTCAAGCAGTAGCTGAGATCTTGCACCCTGATCCACAGACACAAGGAAGAGAGCTAGGACTGCGATATTGCTTGAATCTGGGGTTGGTTCAAACACTTAGAGAACTTGTGGCATCTGCATGTCCTCAAAAACAGGTAGTGAGTGCTATGGGGATGACCCTGGTCACTGATGTTTTCACCTGAAATGAAGTGACAGCAATTCAGGAGAAGAGTTACCCGGAGCTAGGTTTGGAAGTGCATACTCCGGAGAACTATTTGGTGTACTCATGTATATACTTAATGTTATATTTCATATATGTATGTATTTCATAAAGTTAATGTTATGTTTAATATTCTTTCTCTAACCCCTATATGTTAGTCAGTTTTCCATTACCATGGCAAAATACTCAAGCTCACACAATTTAAGAGAAACAAAGTTTATTTGGCTCAAAACTTCAGAAGCTTCAGTGCATGGTTGGCTAATTCCATTGCTATAGGCCTGTGGTGAAGAAGAGCATCATGGCATCAGGAGTGTGTGACAGAGCAAAGATGGCAGCCAGGAGTTGAGTGGGAAGGCCAAGGACAAGATACTTTTTACCACTAAGTGCTACCATCTATAGTTCTAAAACCAGCATCTAGTAGTCATTAATTATAAACCCATCAGTAGGTAGGGTAGGAAACCCACTAATGAAGTTGAGGGCCACAGGATCTAATCACTTCCCCAAAGTCCATTTTGCTCTTTTGCTTTTAACATATGGCTTCTAGAGAACACTTTAGATACAGAACATGCTACGTCTTTTATGACATCTTCACTTTGCTAGTCTTAGTTTACCAAGCCTTTTCAAGAAGGTGGTGCCTACACATATTGAGAGACCCATGTAACAAAGGAACAAACATGGGGGCTTTACCTCTCACATTGGCAATCATACATGGACTAAATCAATATATCTCATAATTATAGTGATTTTATAATTCATTCAAAATTATTATTCCTCAATGCTACATTATTATGGTTACAATGGTTTCCATCCGTGTATAATCATGCTTAACACAGAAGTAGTGCCTGCAAAACCTGATGAGAAAAATCAGTATGCTATGCTGACATGGCAAAAGCCCCAAAATAAGTACTTATACTTTGATCTAGCAACTTGTTTCTCTTATTTTATTCCAAAATAGAGATGCTCATAAAAGGAATGAGAATTGCACAGCACAATAATCACAATAAAAAAAGAGTAACAATGTGAGCAAAACAAATTGAAAAAGGTACTGTGATTATAAAGTTCAAAATGAAAAATAGGGCAGAACAAAGCTTAGTAAAATCATAAACTAAAGGAATTATAATCATGAAATTTGAAATATGGTGGGCCACAAGGAGGAAGAGGACTCAATTTATTCATGATACAGGGCAATAGCGTGTTCCTGTTATTTTATTTGGTTGGCATCACCCACAGTAATGCAAAGAAACTGAGACAGCGTGATGAAGGTTAATGTTTTACTCAAACTTGTGAGTTGGCAAGAGCTTTCTGCTTCATAGACATGGGCTCTAATGGCCTGGGAATGCTCAGCAGGACCCTCTGCTTCCAGACCCTAGGGAGGGAGAACCTTTAGGTTCCAGTAGGAGACTCTGGAAGGGCCAGCCTGATTCACTGGTTTCCTAAATCTTCAGGCTGTGTGGCCCTGGCATTCTTCCTGGGGCTGAGACAGGAGGTGCACAGAGCGCAAGAACAGTGGGTTAGTTAGCATTGGCCACACATTATCCAAAAGTCACTGCTTTGGAGCAGTCCTGTACACTGTGAAGATGTGCTGCTCTTACTGTTAACAAAAATAGGATTGGTCGATGGCTAGGCAGAGTTTTAGGGCAGAGAGAATGCTGGGGAGAAGAAAAGTGGCATCAAGGAGACTCCACAGAGCAAGCAGGACTAGAAGTACATAGATGAGATAAATGAGCCTTGGGGTAGCACACAGATGAATAGAAATGGGTTAATTTAAGTTATATGAATGAGCTAGCTGAAAAGGAGAGTAAGCTATCAGTTGAGCATTTATAATGTTAAGTCTCTATGTGGTTATTGGGGGGAGCAGCTGGCAGAACAGAAAAGTACGCCAACAAATCACACTCAAATTTTGCACGTATAAAATACTAATTTCAAGTAGAAAAGTGTGTTTAAAGGCCCCATCCAATGTGACTGGGCTGTGGCTCAGGCATCAGGGTGTTTGAATGCTGCAAAAAGTATTGGAGGAAAATGGGCTACAGAGATTTCTATCTTGACCCTGAGTTCTAGAGAGAGGAAAGGTAGCAGAAACAACCCAAATGTTATACAAATCAGGCTTGCCAGTGCCTTTCATGCCTCTTCACTCTACATTGTATGCATTGAGTGTACACTATTTTCTGAATAAGAAAAACAAAGTCAGCTTTGTCTGGGACTTTTGGACCTTTAGACTCATGCTCAAGGGACCATCCTCTCACTATTGTGATGCGGGACAATTGTCTATATTCTGTCAATTATGTTTTAAATAAACACTGATTGGCCAGTAGCCAGGCAGGAAGAATAGGCAGGGCAACCAGACAGGAAGTAGAGGTTGGTCAAGGAGAACAGGAGAATTCTGGGAAGGAGGAAGCTCACCACAAAAGAAGCAAGATGTGACCTGTCCCACCGAAAAAGGTACCAAGCCATGTGGCTAACATAGACAAGAATAATGGGCTAATGTAAGTTATAAGAGTTAATAAGAAGCATGAGCTAATGGGTCAATCAGTTTATCATTAATATAGACCTTTGTGTGATTTCTTTGGGGCTAAATCACTGCCCTCCTGGTGGAAGGACAGAAACCAGGCAGGACAGAAACCCTCCCAACAACACCATTTTTATCTGCACCTCTTTGGCCTCTGTCCACATGGTAGCCAACACTTGGAGAGCCCTGTGTGGGCTCTGGGCCATGGTAGATTGTGTACGAGGCAACCTTTGCCCTCTAGCTCCTCTCACCAGTGCCCAATTTCTTCTACCAGATCATAACACATTCCATAGTCTCCACCGCCTTCATCACATGTGGTGATGCTGGATTTGAGATCTTCAACCCACTCCAAGCCCATGTACCTCCTCATCCCACTTCTATGGGAGGAAATGAAGGTACCAGGGGTCCAGTGAACTCACCCACTTACCATATTACTAAGTACTGTTGTGCTTGGCAGTGTTCTCTCTCTCTCTCTCTCTCTCTCTCTCTCTCTCTCTCTCTCTCTCTCACACACACACACAGAGCACTACTTTAGGAGCATATCTCGGCCTTTATACTCACCCTCCAGGGGCCACCCTCAGCAGTTCTCACCACTGTTACCTGCACCGCTTTGGCTCCTCCGTCCACATGGTGGGCAACACTTGGAGATCTGTAAGGCTTCCTGTGTGCCTTTCTCAGTGCTCCTCACTTCACTGTCTTTAACCCTGACACGTTTTAATGCTCTCTAAACACTGGTATTCACTGTAACACTGTGCTCCTTCCCGCTCTCTGGCTTCTATAGCTGGTACAATGGGCTGGATCTCCACAGACACCTTAATTTCAGCCCCGCCTCCCTTGAAAATGTATAGAACCTGAGAGAATTTTTTTTGTGGTTTATAAGCTGAAAGAACTAAGATTTCAAAATACCAAGGACTGGTTTTACTGAGAAACGCCTCCACAATTAAATAGGAGGGCTGGTGTAGTACAGAACAACACTCCAGGGTCAAAAATGGAACAGACAAGCCTCTGGATTCAGAGTCACAGTCACATGGACTGAGGTCAGGGAGGAAGAGGCAGCACAGCTGTATCTTCTCTGGTGCCAGGAGAAGCATCTGCAGGGCGGTGATAAGCAACTGGGGTCTCTCCAGGCCCATGAGGTTTTGCATTGCACAACATCTCTCCATTCATTTGGATGGCAATTAGTCTAGGCAGCTTTGCCTTAATGTAACACAGCAAAGAAGACCAAACTAAAACACAGGTTTATTTTGGCTGTTTTCCTGGTTTCACCTCACACAGATAGGTTGGTCTTGTTGCTGGGGGCTGATGAGGAGGCACTTACTCAGGCAAAGGCACATGTGGGAGCAGAGCCATTCATCTCATGGCCAAGGAGGAACATATTTTTCAGCCTTAGGAACTGAGGTCCCGATACCCACTTTAAAGATGTGCCCTTAACAATCACAAGATCTCCCACTTGGTCCTCCCTCTTCAAGTTTCTACCACAAGCCAGGTGTGGACCCAACCTTTAACACATGGGACTTGGGGGCTGAGTATTTTAGATTCAAAGTGTAGCAGAGATCTAGTGAGGGAAAACCACAAGAGCTACGAAGATGTTTAATAGGAGCACTGAGTAACACAAAGTCACATATTAAAACTGGGTAACAATTTGAGTAGCTCACCTCCCAGAACCATGCAAGAGTCTCACCATTCCGTGTGCCTCACTCAGGTAAGGGATGAG